TTGATAAGAAGCTTTCTGGTTTTAATTCACAAACTTACTTTGCTTGCTGACAGGTGTTGAAAAAGATAAGAAAACAGAGGATAATGCTGAAGAGAAAAAGGAGAGTGCCCCTGGAGAGAGCAAAAGTGCAAAAAAGAAGAAAAAGAAGGATAAATCCTCAAAGGAGGCAAAGGAATCATTGCAGGAGCAACCTGATGGGTCTGATGTTAGGAATGAGGGAGAGGAAGCTGCTGGTGCTGAGAAGACGGATAATGCTTCTACTATTGATGTGAAGGAGAGGTTGAAGAAAATGACTTCTATGAAGAAGAAAAAATCTGCTAAAGATATGGATGCAGCTGCTCGAGCTGCTGCTAATGAGGCTGCTGCAAGGAGTGCAAGGCTTGCTGCTGCCAAGAAAAAGGAGAAGAATCACTACAATCAGCAGCCAGTGCGGTAAGCCAGCAGGTTTATGGCTCTAGGTTTTTGTTCTTTTCTCCTTTATTATATAAGAGCTTGTACTTTCTTTTTATTAGTTTTGTCAATCCAAAATAAACATCAATCTTTTGATTTTGTGAAAAGGATTTTTGTTGGGATAGCTCTTGTTCTTAGAGATATAATCAGTTCCTTAGCCTCCATCTGGATATTATTGTGTTGTGATGCATAACTGCTACATAGATCTTACATGGTTATAATTTTTGTAATATGTGTGCTGATATGCTGCATGTTTTGTTGCATCAATCTGACTTGCTCTTAGTAACTAGTATATTAAGTATGAGGACAGTGAGCATTTGATCACATATGTAAACATCCCTGCCTGCGACTTAATGGTGGAATCAGTATGTTTGGAATGGACCTTTGCCTTTGTGAAGAGGTATGAAAGAGTAGGACTAGCTTCTGTCTGTGATCTCTTTAAATTCAAGAATAAAGAGCTGTAGTTGCTTGTAGATACAGAACTCTCGTAAGCTAAATGTTAGGATTGGAGGCAGAGCATTACTATCTCATGTGTCTTTTCTTAAGTCTTAATGGGAAGTTTGTCTATCTTCGTGTTTTAAACTTCGATTAGATCCTGTTCAATTTTAGTATCATGTGTGTTATTATCTGTATAGGGAAATTCAATGTGTAATTTTCTAATATTTCGTATTAAGCACCTAACATGGTGTTGTTATAAAGTTATTAGGTCATTATGAAATGTCTGATATGTGAGGCAACACAGTAAGGTAGCGCTCTTAGTTTAATTTGGAAGGGGTATTTTTGTGGAGTACCAAATTTGGTTTTAGTGGTCAGAAAACAGCCTCCAGTTTCCCTATCACAGTGGTGAGACAGTGCCATTTTGTTGATTGACCCTATATTTTCTGGCTGTCTTTTAAGGTAGCCTGTCTTGAAATTACATTGAGTGTTTGGTTATGGAGTTTGCCAAATCCTATCCCAGGATGGGTTTGCTGGAGCTCCGCTGTGGAGTATACACAACTAAGACCCATGGAGATAGGTGGATCAGAGTTGTATTTTTTTATATTTTAAAACCCCCTTATCATGCGTTTTTTATGCAACTTAACTTCCATTTGGGTTATTGAAAGAATAGGATTAACAAGTTACAATGAGGAAGCCTCTGCGTGATGGATATACAAAAACTCAATTGTTGTTTAGAGCATGAAATATATCATCATTAACTGCTCTACACCTATAAATCTTCCACCAATTGTTATATATTGATAAAAATGCCGGGCACCTTTGCATGTTAATGAAGGGAAAAAAAAAAAAAAAAAACAATCTTCTACAAATGTCACTTCTTGACATGACCTCCCCCCTACATTTCCTCTCATGGCTTCATGGGTAAAAGAGCTTCATTTACCCAACCTTCATATCCCTATAACCGTTGATCGAATACTTCCAGTTGCTCCTTCCAAACCTATTCCCAGCAACACCCTTTATCTCTCAAACCTTGATGACATAATTGGAGCTCGAGTGTTCACCCCAACTGTATATTTTTATCAAACAAAAGATTTGAATTCTAATCAAGACCTTGTTGTTAAAATATTGCGAGATGCACTTGCCAAAGTGTTAGTTCCTTACTATCCTTTCTCTGGTCGGTTAAGGGAGGTCGAGAATGGAAAGCTAGAAGTGTTTTTTGGGCCAAACCAAGGTGCACTCATAGTTCAAGCACGCACTAAAATGGCTTTAGATGAGTTAGGTGATCTGGCCGTGCCAAATCCAGCATGGTTACCATTGATCTACCGATTTCCTAATGAAGAGTCATACAAGATTCTTGACATGCCATTACTTATAGCACAAGTCACTCTTTTTAGATGCGGTGGCTTTAGCCTTGGCTTAAGGCTTTGCCATTGCATATGTGACGGATTTGGTGCAATGCAATTTGTTGGAGCATGGGCTGCCACAGCAAAAACAGGGACACTAATAACAAACCCGAAGCCATGTTGGGATAGAGAATTCTTTAAGCCTCGTAAGCCGCCAGTTGTGAAATATCCTCATGTTGAATTTATGCCAATTGATGAAGGTTCAAACTTGACAATGTCTTTATGGGAAGCCAAGCCCGTACAAAAATGTTACCAAATCAGTCGTGAGTTTCAAATTAAATTAAAAACACTTGCTCAATCAGACAATTCATTTATATGCACTACTTTTGATGCCATGGCAGCTCATGTATGGAGATCATGGGTTAAGGCACTTGATGTCCAACCACCAAACTATCAACTTAGACTTACATTTTCTGTCAATGCCAGGCCAAAGCTCAAGAATCCAGCTCTTGAACAAGGATTCTACGGCAATGTGGTGTGTGTGGCATGTGCAATGACCACTGTTCATAATCTTATAAATGCTGCTGGCCTCGCAGATATCACTCGATTAGTTCGCGAAGCTAGGCTAAGCATATCGGAAGAGTACTTAAGATCTACAGTGGATTATGTTGAGAGAAACAGGCCTAGAAGGCTTGAATTTGGTGGGAAATTGACAATAACTCAATGGACAAGGTTCTCAATCTATGAATCTGCTGATTTTGGATGGGGAAGACCAATTTATGCTGGTCCTGTGGATATAACTCCTACCCCACAAGTTTGTGTATTTTTGCCACAAGGAGATACTGATCCTAGTGGAACAATTGTGGTATGCATTTGCTTGCCTGATTATGCCATTACTAGATTTACAGAGATCTTGTCTTTAAAAGATACGAGTCATTAGATAGATTTCTGCCATAATATTATGGTCGTGAAATGAAAACAAATCCTCTATTTTATACTTGGTATAATTATTCATATTTTAGTGTATTAACTCTTTACTTCTTCATCATTTTTCTACATCTTACTATAACTTGTTCTCTTTTATCATCTCATAAACAATAAATTATAAACAGGTGATTAGCAATTCAGTGGTAATTAAACTATTTCATCTTGAATAATATATATTTTTTAAATGAATATGAGTCTAATGTTAATAATTAAGTTGATATAATGGTTTATCCTTAATTTTATGATATAAGATTAAGGGAATTCTGATATAGCAAAATATTCCTAAAACAAATCAAAATAAGAATTTTTTTTTTTAATAGTTATGCTTAAGTAAAACGATATTTTATAAATTTCTCTATTTATATTTAAAAATGAATATGAAAATATAAATATACTAAGTTATTACATAGGTTGAGTTTGCTATGAATTTGAAATTAATTTTAATTAAATATTCAACCTAATATTTTAATCTAACATTCTTAAATATGATATTCTCTTCAAGAATGTTTGACTTTGCTTTTATCTTGCCAAGAGTTTATGAGTTTTTTTAACTAGGCATGAGTAGATATAATAATAATTATTTTTTATAAATAAAAGTTGTTTAAGTATTTGAGAATACTGAGTTAATAAGATGTATTAATTTATTCTTTTATATTTGGTAAAAACATAGTTTACGAGTTTGACAAATATATCAAATAACAAAAAAAAAATTTAAAAGAAGAAAGTTTTATTATTTCTAATAAATACCAAAAAAAATAAAAAATTCTCATAAATTTAGTAACCTATATATTTTTTAGACAAATTGATATAAATTAAGAATAAAATGA